GCTGGGTGGGCCAACGGACCGACGGCATCCGGTTGTTTCTGACGCATCTCACAAAGTGGTCTCCCCCGCAGGCCGGCCATCGCAGACAGCTTCTACGCCATTTCCTACCTCTACTACGGGGCCTTGGGAACCCTCACCACGATCGCTGCCGGGGCCTTGGTGAGCTGCCTGAGAGGTAACCAGACGGGCAGTGGGTTGGCAGTGGCTCAATGCGCAGACGTAGGCCACCCTTTCGGAAATGGGTCTGGGTGCGATATCTAACGCGTCTTTAGGTAGGGTAGAGCCGATACGGTGTCATCTACAAAGGGCGTCACCCACCGTTCCCTGGTGGCACACGGGTCCTCCCCATCTGCTGCTCGCGGACCCTTCGGGGGGCAGAAGAGCCAGAGATGCTGCTGGATTCCTGCACCCGGCAGGGGGGTGGCGTGGATGAGCGGCCCTCGGGTTTTGTGAGATACAGGGCTGGGAGGGTCAGTGGTGGGCGCCTCCTTGGTCCGCAGAAGGCTGCAGGTCCAGTTCCCATCAGCCTCTGAAGCAAGAGGTATCTGGCCCCAGGACGGACCAGGCCTTTCCTTCCTGGCACCGGGCCAGCTGGAGGAGCCACGCTTGGCAGCCCGAGGGCGAAAAGCCGCTCTCTGCTCTTAGATGGAGGAGGTTCGGCTTCACGGTGGAGCCAGCGCCCTCCAGCAGCTGCTCCGCTCTGGGAGAAGCAGCATCCGCAGCTGGCCTTCTGCCCTTCAGACAGCACCCCCCCCCGTCCCCGAGATAACTCTGCTGTGCGAGACCCTCGGTCCCATCGCCCGTCCCTCTCCCGCCTCCTGCTCCACCCCCAGGCCCTGCAGCCCCCCATTTCCAGGCAGCGGGCACAGGCCCTCACGGCTCCCTGCGCAAGGCTGCCCTCGCTCGGATGGCCTCGAACAAGGGGGAAAGGGCCCTTAAGCCCGCCTGGCTCTGGGCTGGGGATGGGACCGAGGGCCATCGCACAAAGAAAGGTGCTTTGGGAGCACCTCCGAAGCTCTGCCCCCCACCGCTGCTGGGACCACCCGCCCTGCAGAACAGCCCCTGTCCTGGGGCTGCTGCTCTGTCCATCGGCGGACTTTGGGGCCTGCCCCAAAGCGCGGCTGCTCGCCTGGGAAGCCTCTGCTGCAGAGCACCGGTTCCCGAGGAGGGGGCACCTGCCGGAGGGCCCCACCCTCAAGTGAGGAAGGCAGGGCTTCTCTGTCGTGGCCCCGCCCCCGCCTGTGCCGCCCCCGGAGCGCATCTGCCCCCCCCCCCCC